CCAGCAAACCTGGTTCCTTTTTCTTTTTTTTTTTTAATGATTTTTGAATTTTGTTCCACATTGTTCTCCCACTCTATCCAGGATCTCCTACAGAGATCCCCCTCCGAGTGCTTGACAGTGGTAGCCAGGCACAGTCTTGCTCCTTGGAGAAGGAGCATTCCAGCTGCACTTCCTCCAGGACAGATCTGTTACTTCTTTTAGCAGTGCACTGCACTTTCAGCATTCTTCGCCAGCACCACAACTCAAAAGCACCAACTCTTCTTCGGTCTTCCTTATTCATTGTCCTGCTCTCACGTGCATATGAGGCGATTAAAAATACCATGGCTTGGGTTAGGCTCACCTTAGTCCTCAAGGAGACATCTTTGCTCTTCAGTACTTGAAAGAGGTCCTTTGCAGCCAATTTGCCCAGTGCTATACATCGTCTGATGTCCTGACTGCTGCTTCCATTGGCTTCATTTATAAAACCAAGCAATGTGAACTCTTCCACAATTTCAGTCTTCATTTATTGTGATGCTGCTTATAGGTCCAGTTGTGAGAATCTTTGTTTTCTTTATATTGAGATGTCATCCATACTGCAGACTGCATTGTTCAATCTTCATCATTAAGTGCTTCAAGTCATCCTCACTTTCAGCAAGCAAAGTTGTGTCGTCAGTGTATCACAGGTTGTTAATGATCCTTCCTCTAATCCTGATGCTACGTTCTTCATATAGTCCAGCTTCCCAGATTATTTGCTCAGCATACAAGTTGAATAAGTGTGGTGAAAGGATACAACACTGATGCACTCCCTTCTTGAATTTAAACCATCCAGTGTCCCCTTGTTCTTTTCGAATAGAAGCCTCCTTGTCTATGTACAGATTCCTCATGAGTACAATCAAGTGTTCTGCAATTCCCATTCCTTTCAATGGTACCCATGATTTGTTATGATCCACACAGTCAAATGCTTTTGCTTAGTCGATAATACATAAGAAACATTTTTCTAGTATTCTTTGCTTTGAGCCGAGATCCATCGGACATCAGCAGTGATATACCTTGTTCCACATGCTTTCCTGAATCCAGCTTGCACTTCTGGAAGCTCTCTGTCAATATATTGCTGCAACCATTTTTAAAATATCTTCAGTAAGATTTACTAGAACTCTGGTAGTGTAGTGCGTAAGGCACTTGACTGCTAACCAGAAGGCAGGTGGTTCAAACCCACCAGCCACTCCTCAGAAGGAAGGTTGGGCAGTCAACTTCCGTAGTGATACTGCTTCGGAAACCCAAAGAGGGGTCCCTATGAGTTGGATCCAACTCGACAGCATATAACAGCAACAAAAACAACAAGATTTTACTTGCATGCGACATTAATGATATTGTTCGATAATTTCCACATGCTGTGGATCACCTTTTTTTTTTTTTTTTTT